ATGATATCATCAACATAAACCAGTAATGCAACAAATGATTCACCAACCTTTCGAACAAACAATGTGTGGTCTGCTTGAGATTGACGAAATCCAACCTTCAAAAGAACTGAGCTAAACTTTTGATACCACTGTCTAGAGGCTTGACGCAACCCATAGAGAGACTTCTGAAGTTTGCAGACAGGTCTATTCGGCAGAGATGTACCAGCAGAAGGAGTATAACCAGGAGGTAATTCCATGTAAATGTCCTCATCCAAATCACCATGGAGGAAGGCATTTGTGACATCCATCTGAGTTAAAGTCCAGTTCTGAACTGCTGCTAATGCCAAAAGAACTTTCACAGTAACCAATTTTGCAACAGGAGAGAAAGTGTCAATAAAATCTACTCCTTCTTGTTGAGTAAATCCCTTTGCCACTAACCTGGCCTTGTATCTCTCAACTGTTCCATCTGATTTTCGCTTGATGCGATACACCCACTTACACCCTACTGGTTTCTTATCGGGTGGTAAAGAAACTACCAACCAAGTACCATTGCTATGTAAAGCACTCAGCTCAACATCCATCGCTTCTCTCCATTTATCTGAAGACACAGCCTGTTTAAAAGTCCGAGGTTCTGATTCATTGGATAAGTTTAGGACAAAATTTCGGTAAAGGTCTGAAAGTCTATCATATGATAAAACAGATGATAGAGGATGTAAAACGGGTTTGGTAGAAGGTGGTGCTGTGTGATGTTGAGCCATATAGCAATGATATTGTTCCAGATATGATGGAGTTTTGACAGTGCGCCTAGGTCTGCCTGTCAAAATGGTATCTGTTTCAACAGAGTCAGGAATTGGAATTTCAGGGTTTGGTTCTCTTGACTGTAAAGTAGTATCTGATGTAGCAATAGGAACATCAGAAACTTCAGGTATGTAAGAAGGTAAAATGGTTGTTGGTAAAAAACTGGTGACAGATTCCAGAGCAGAATCTGTTGAGGTTTGTGAAGAATGAAAAGGAAAAATATTTTCAAGAAATTCCACATTCCGTGAGATAAAGACTCTGTTTGTCTCAGGGTCGAGCAACTTATATCCCTTAAAACCTGGGGGATATCCAATGAATACAGTCGCAGTTGCTCTAGGAGAAAACTTATCTCGAGTATGTGGATAAGTAGAGGCATAACATAAACATCCAAAAGCCCTGAGATGTGTGTAAGTGGGTACCTTGTTCATCAGTATCTCATAAGGAGTTTTGTTGTGTAGATTTGGTGATGGAATCCTGTTGATCAAGTATGTAGCTGTGAGAATGCAATCACTCCAATACTGAAGTGGCAGATGTGACTGATACAGCAAAGCTCGGGCTACATTCAGTAAGTGTTGGTGTTTCCTCTCAACCACTGAATTCTGCTGAGGAGTGTAGGGACATGAGAAGAAATGTTGTATCCCATGCTTACTGCAATAATCTGTAAACTGCAATTCATGTGCATTGTCTGATCTAATAGATTTTACAGATTTACTAAACTGTCGTTCTACCATACTGACAAAATCAGGAAAATATTTGGCAACATCTCCCTTATGTTTCAACATATAGACCCAAGTTACTCTTGAACAGTCATCAACTAAGGTCAAAAAGTATTTGTAACCTTCAACAGAAACGGTTGAGAAAGGGCCCCATATGTCCATATGAATAAGATCAAAGGGTTGAGCAGAAAAGTGATTATTAGAAATAAAAGGTAATCTTCTTTGTTTAGCAAGATGACAGACCTTACAATGAGTTAGATCTGTACATTTGCGAAGATTTAGTACATCAGACAGGACTTTTATTCTAGGTAATGAAGGGTGTCCTAATCTGTGATACCAAAGATCGACATTCACAGTTACAGAATTACAAAAGAAAGTAGGATGGACAGGGGTAAAAGAAGTGTCCAGGACATAGAGATTGTTTTGGAGTTTAGCCCTCCCAATCGTCCAAGCCTGAGAAAGGTCCTGAATAAGGCATGATTCAGCAGAAAAAGTAAGTGAAAAAGACTTGTGCTGAAGTAATGCATGAACACTAAGAAGGTTAAATGAAAAAGAAGGAATGTATAGAACATTAGTAAGAGTTATAAAATCATTTATAACAACTGTCCCAGTAGTTTCAATAGGTATACGCTGACCATTAGGGAGAGTTACTAAAGTAGTAGGTATCACTTTCAGATCAGTAAACCATGATCTATCAGAACAAACATGCACAGAAGTACCAGAATCGACAATCCAATTTCCACTGGTTTTAACAACTGATAAAGCAGCAGGAGACATACCAGAATGTTCAGAAACTGAAACTCCAGATTCAGTAATAGTTGGACCAGAAATGTGCAGCTGACTTCCAATCTTGGTATATAGGCGTTGAAGTTGATCTGCAGGTAACATGCTGAAATCAGGCAAGGCAAAAGAGGAAGCATTACCTGATTCAGTAATTACAGCAGCCACAGTTCCTTGTTGAACAGCTGAAGATTTGAGTTGTTGAGCATTAGTATTCTGATATCGCTGAGCACCGGATTTGTAGCCTGGTGGATATCCATGAAGCTTGTAACACTTCTGGATAGTATGGCCATAGAGTCCACAATGCGTGCATAACGGACGCTGACGAGTTTTCGAAACACCAGTTGTAACAGCAGCAACAGGAGAATCAACAGGAGCAATGTAACTCTGAAGAGTTACCTGTTGACCAGAAACAGAGTGATGAGCAAGTCTATGATGCTCTTGCTGTGTCACAATGTTGTAAGTCTTCTGTAGATCTGGTAGACTATCCAGCATCAGAATGTTGCTTCGAACAGCATCATATGAATTGTTCAATTTGAATAGAAAATGCATAACAAAATCTTCTTCGAAGATGGCATTCCACTTCTCATCAGTACCACAAGAGCAATTTCCACAGGTACAACGTGGATTTGTTCGAACAGTTTTGATCTCCTCCCAAATAGTGACCAGTTTTGTGTAAAACTTCGCCACATCCATCGAGCCTTGGGAAAGTTCAAATAACCTTTGCTTGATGTTGTATCTACGGGAGAGATTCTGCTGTTGAAAGCGACGTACCAGATCATCATACATGGCCTTTGCTGTTTTGATGAACATTAAGCTCTCCGCAATGTCCAACGAAACCGAATTGAGAATCCATGAAATCACCACAGCATTGTTGCGAATCCAGTGACGCAAATTTGGATCATCATCCGAAGGTCGAGGTAGAGTTCCATCAACAAAACATACCTTGTTGCGACCTTCAAGCGCAATCTGAAAAGCGCGAGACTAGGAATTGAATCCGGATGCATCAACCAACTCGTGAGTAATGAGTTTGAGACCGTAATCATTACTGGACAATTGGTAATGATCAGGACAATTGCTTGAATCAGACACCATTTCTTCGGAAAAGCGCGAAGAAACGGGAAAGAAAATACCGAAAAGATGAGCGAAAATCAGAATTGAATGCGGAAGTATCAAAGATGCTCTGATACCATAATAGGAGTTGTAATTCGAGAATCCGAGTGCCGAGAAAACGAAGGAAAGTGTGAGAAAATCAGAGAGAGATTGAAATGAAAAGAGAGAGAGCTGGGAAAATTTCACTGTACTGTTCATTTACTCTGTATCAACATATATATACATGTTCATCTTAACGAATCCTGTAACCGACTCAGTAACCGACTCAATAATAATTACAACTAACAAAACCTGTTATTCCTTCCCTAATAAAGGGTTCGACTGGTTGTACCGCAGCGGTTGCGGTTGCGGGTGGCAACATTTTCAGAACGTTTGATAGCGATTATAAATGATTAGTACTGACTGGTTGAGAAGTTGCTGTTGGTAGCGATTGCGGGTGGGTGCAGTTAGAAGTGAATGGTTCATTACGGTTGCGGTTGCGTTTTGATATAAATTGTTAAAAAAAATATATTATTTAAAAATAATTTATTTTTTTTATTAAAATATAATACTAAAAAATAATATCAAATCATAACACTAAACAAAATCATCACCAATATATATATTAATGTTTTATATAATTTCTAATAAAAATATTTTAGTTTTTTTGTCGAAACGCCGGAAACCGCTACCAAAACGCAAGTTGGAAGCTGCGATTAGAAAACACAAGTTTGGTTGCGGTTGCGGTTGGTTGCGGTTCAACCAGTCAGTTTTTCAATCGCCCACAACCGCCGAAAATCACAACCGCTCCGTTTGTAGGTGGCGGCGGTGCAACCAGTCGCCCCCAAAGAGATAACCTAAACTATAAAAAACGCAAAGTCTTTGCCAAAATCACCAAATCCTAGGGCTCATAATACGTCCTTATAAAAGTACCGTTTTGCCCTTCCGCGTTTCCAACTTTCTGCTTCGTTTCGAGACTCCGAAAATCTCCTAGCGGGTTTTGACGAAGGCCACGCTCTACACAAACTAAAATATTTTGCTGCATTAGATCATATAAATAAATAAGAATTTCTCAGAATGCGGTCATGTCATGAATAGGTTCTCTGTTTCTTATAAAATCAAATAACATATATTTTATCTGAATCAAATCCAAATCTGATGATTAAATATGTTTTTACCCAAACTAAATTCGAATGGAATATGGAAATAATTCTGCAAACCAAATGAAACTAATTTTAGAAATGAGTTAATGATACGGAATTTGAACCAAACAAAAAATTAGACATAAATCTGAATGAATATATATAGTTTTTCAACAATCGAAAAAAACTCAGATAAAAAATAATTGAAGTAACATGAATGGAAATTCGAGATATCCACTATGGATCAAATTACTTTTTTTTTTTTTTGGCGTTGAAATTTGACCTCTAGACAGTTACGTCTCTTGTGGACATCACACATTCACACCAAGCAGTAATTTTGCAGACTCATCTATTTATTTTTTTATTTTTTTAATTTGTAATTATAAGGATTTCACAAATGGGTGGGCCTAAATAACAACAAAGGCCCAATACATGATGGGCCTACAAACATTCTCCCTCTCTCTCCCACTCTCTCTCGTTTCAAAATCTCTCTCTCTCAGTCAGAGCGCGATTTCTTACAGATTTCTCGAGGAGGAGGAGTTCCAAGTTGTTATTCCGAACACAAGCTCTGTAAAAAATCTTCTATGATCTCGAAGGAGAGTTGCCGCAACGAGCTTCGTGCGGCTATCCGACAGCTCAGTGACCGTTGCCTTTACTCCGCCGCCAAATGGTAGTACCCATTGCTTTAACCCTAATGTTCTCTATCTCCTCTCGTTGTTACAATTTACTCTCTCTCTCTCTCTCTCTCTCTCTCTCTCTCTCATGGCGTTTTCTTCCTCGTCCTGTGATTTAATTGCGACTTTTCCCATCGAAAGACCATTCTTCGGTTTCCTCTCAGGGTTTTCCCGATTCTTCCCGGGTTATGTAGCTTTTAAGAGTTGTAAATTGGAAATTTGTTTTTTTTTTGTTGAAATCTGGTGTCTTTCAGTTTCGGCTTCAGATTCATTTTGAGTTGAGCTTCATATGGGTTTGATGGGACGAGTTCAGATTCCTGTAAAGATGGTATTTTTGACCTATCATTTGCCCTACTTCCTGAGCTGTGGATTCGCAATGGACTGTTATGTTATGATTTGATTTTCTTGTTTTCTTCGCACATTCAAATCCAGTTATGAGGGTTTCTTAGTTGTAAGCCTCCGCTTTGAGCAGGGCAGGAGAGCAGCTTGTGGGAATAGAGCAAGACCCATCAAATTTTACACCTTCAAACACGAGATTCCAGAGAGGAAGCTCGAGCATCCGAAGACGGTTCCGCACCAATGACATCACTTCAACGCCATCGCCTTCTGTTGGTTTGCCTTATGTGTCTACTCCTCTCATGGAGGAAGATGAAGTGGTGGATGGTGACATTTACTTATTGGCAAAGTCCTACTTTGATTGTCGAGAGTACAGAAGAGCTTCCCATTTGCTTCGTGATCAAATGGGGAAGAAATCGATGTTCTTGCGTTGCTATGCCCTTTACCTGGTATGCCCTATCTGTTCTCCTTCTTTGTTCTGAATCTGCATAGAATTTTGAATCTGAGTATATTGCCAATTCCTGCATATACCATCTATCCAACAGAGAATTCAGTTTATAACACTTCATTTCCTTTGTAAATCATTCCCACAAATGCATCAGATAAAACAGGGAAAACGGAAAGAGTTAGAGAAAAAAATGCGACCTTATATATATTACAGAGAAGTAAAAGTCTTTAAAATAGAGAAATTAACATACTCGAACTTTATTTGAATTTCTGTACCACTTTATGTATTCACACACCATTCTACATCCCCACATGCTTTAGAAGAAGAAGAGTCAATCGCATAAAAACAGAGCTCAAGTTCCTGGGTGCCAAAAGGCAATCCTATACCCACATCTAAACTAGAGAACCAGAGTCTGAGACTAATGACGAATGCAACACATGTGGGAAAGAGTGATGCTGTAAACCACGAACTAGTTCCTCTGGAGAGGGAATTATCAGGCCTGAGGAAGAATGGTTCGATCGATTCTTTCGGATTATATCTGTATGGTATGGTGCTTAAAGAAAAAGGGAATGAAGGTCTTGCACGTGCCAGTTTTGTGGAGTCTGTGAACAGCTATCCCTGGAACTGGAGTGCATGGTCAGAGCTGCAATCTTTGTGTACTTCGATCGAAATCTTGAATAGCCTTAATCTAAACAATCACTGGATGAAAGACTTCTTTCTTGCGAATGTTTATCAAGAGCTCAGAATGCACAGTGAGTCCTTGGCAAAGTACGACTATCTGCAAGGTACTTTCAGTTTCAGCAATTACATCCAAGCTCAAATTGCAAAAGCCCATTATAGTCTTAGGGAATTTGACCAGGTTGAAATCATGTTCGAAGAGCTTATGAGAAACGATCCTCATCGTGTTGAAGATATGGACTTGTATTCTAATGTTCTATATGCAAAAGAAGCCTGTGCTGCATTGAGTTACCTTGCACACAAGGTGTTTTTGACAGATAAGTACAGACCCGAGTCTTGCTGCATCATTGGTAACTATTACAGTTTAAAGGGGCAGCATGAAAAGGCAGTAATGTACTTCCGGAGAGCACTCAAACTGAACAAGAAGTACTTATCTGCTTGGACACTTATGGGCCATGAATATGTTGAGATGAAAAATACACCAGCCGCCATTGATGCTTATCGACGTGCTGTTGATATCAACCCATGTGATTATCGAGCTTGGTATGGTTTAGGACAAGCGTATGAGATGATGGGCATGCCTTTCTACGCGCTTCATTATTTCCGGAAATCTGTCTTCTTTCTGCCAAATGATTCTCGGTTGTGGATTGCCATGGCTAAGTGTTACCAAACCGAGCAGCTTAACCTGCTAGAGGAAGCAATCAAGTGTTACAAAAGGGCTGTGAACTGTAATGACACGGAAGGGATTGCTCTTAACCAGCTGGCAAAGCTTCACCAGAAGCTTGGGCGTAATGAAGAAGCTGCATTTTACTTCACGAAGGATGTGGAGAGAATGGACGCTGAAGGATTAGAAGGGCCAAATATGTTTGAGGCTCTGGTTTTTCTTGCTACACATTTCAAAACTCAAAAGAAATTCGAAGAAGCAGAGGTCTATTGTACACGTCTTCTAGATTACAGTGGCCCGGTAAGTTACAGTTCTGGCAATTCTGACCCTGCTAACAAACACCCGAGTTTCTTGATTTAGTTTCACACGTGTTTGACGATGTGTAATCCGTGGTTTCAGGAAAAAGAAAAGGCAAAGAGCTTACTAAGAGGGATCCGGATGGCGCAAACCGGTTTCCCATCAATGGATGTAGAGCATTTTCCTTTATGATGTTTGGTTTCCCAATACTCATGAAAGCTCTTGAGGGGAATGTCTTCGAGCAGGTAAGGGCTTTGGGATGTGAAACTGCGGTTTAACATTAATGGTTTATTGATGTCTTAGTGACAGTGGATACTTCTCTGTTTGTAAACTTGTCTACATATAAAAGTAGCACATAACAACCTCACGAAAATTCCCCTTCTTACCCGTAAAGCTTTGATAAATACGAACCTGCATTATAACTCCTTTCTCTTTTTTCTTTTTCGGGGATTGGTTTAGCTGAATGTCGTCGGATTTTCACATCTTGTATGCTTGGGTACAGCCTTTGGACTCAGTTTCACGGTTAAGATCCCTGTTGCTTTTGCTTAGTACCTAAATGCTAAAAGTGTAGGTGTGATCAGCTAAAGCAGTTTTGTTCTAAAAAAGAAGATGACTGAACATTTGGACACAGCCAAAGGAAGACACAGGGGATAAAAGGAGACCGAACAGCCACAGACACAGACAGAGACGGTTCGAGCATGAACCTCGAAAAAATATTTTCTGGGCAAGACATTAAAGAGAAGCACCACCACTTATATGTTTCTGACTCAATATATGCTTAATATAATGATCACTCCTTTGGTGATAACCCTCAGTTTAAGCACTTGATAGAAAGAGGCAAATGATGCAGGGTCTTCCATGAAGGATCTTTGCAAGGTTAAAAGGGATCTTTCTATTCCAACATGCCCTTGCATTCAAAATGGGTTCTCCAGTGCATGTTTACTTGGAAAAGTTGTAACAAAACTGAGAAGCTTGGGAGAATAGACCAAAGCAGCAAGAACTCTTGACCTTCAATATGTTGTCTCATTGCATGAACCAGCTGCTGATAGAAAGAATCACTCAGGGATAGCACTCGCAGTCCATAGTATTGCATCAGATAAAACAGGGAAAACGGAAAGAGTTAGAGAAAAAAATGCGACCTTATATATATTACAGAGAAGTAAAAGTCTTTAAAATAGAGAAATTAACATACTCGAACTTTATTTGAATTTCTGTACCACTTTATGTATTCACACACCATTCTACATCCCCACATGCTTTAGAAGAAGAAGAGTCAATCGCATAAAAACAGAGCTCAAGTTCCTGGGTGCCAAAAGGCAATCCTATACCCACATCTAAACTAGAGAACCAGAGTCTGAGACTAATGACGAATGCAACACATGTGGTAAAGAAAGAGACGGACATACGGTGAACCAAAAGACACTTCCTCTCTATGACCTGCAAAACATGCTAGACGAACGAGCCAACCGATTTGTCAGACCACCTCCTTGGACACTAGCCTCAGCCTTGACTGCATCCTGATCATACGGTTTCCTGCAACCAGGACAACGTCCATCCCCGTCACATATCGTCTTGTGACAGAAAAGGCAGAGCCGGAAACCACATGGACATGGCAAAAAGTTTGAATCTGTTAAATCCAGATCCTCATAGCAGATGGGACATGACGATGGTGTAGCCACAGTACTAAAATGCCTGTCCATGGCTGGAAAAGTGTGCTGCTTTGACAAGTTAGGCAGGGTCTGAGGGCGAAGCTCATCATCTGGACGCCATGCCCGGTTGCTCTTTTGCATCCCCGATACCGTCCTCTGACAATCTTGCTTTCCATCCATAACACCCACACCTGAACCATTGTGTGGAACAAAGCCATTAATTGAATCCCTTGGAGAAGCCAGTTGTCTGACAGTCTCAGGGTCTTGGCACAACTCGGGAAGATTTTCTTTCTCATGCTTGTCATTGGCGGCTAAGGCATCAGCAACAGCCTCCCAGTCATCCAAACACCCATCGTCATCTCCATCTTCCTCCTCGGTTATATTACCAGAGCAAAAGCCACCACTCCCGCTGCTACTGCTACTCCTGCTGCTGCCACTGAAACTATGGCTTAAATCAGTCCCATCCAGGATACTACTGGTAGGGCTATTGGAAGGTGACTCCATAAAACTCTCCTGATGGAATGTTCCGTCATTATCCTCTTCCTTACGCCCCCTATCCAAATTCTCCACCGGACTGTTGTCTCTCTCCCTTTCATCGGATTTTTCACACCCAGTTCTTTGATTGGGGTTCATCTCCCCCTTAAACCCCTTATTCTTCGCAGCAACTAATGGAGAAAGCAAACAAAAAACCCCAAATTCCGAAATTCAATATAGACAAAGTTGTAAAAGACAGAGAGAAACCTAAGCAAACCTAAACAAATGTAGAAATCAGATTTTCATCATCATACCTTGAGAAAGCCATTGCTCACGACGGGCATCCAGCTTGCACTGTTTCAATTTAGCGGACCTGTTGGTCTGCAAACCAATGCAATAAGCACCAAAAAAGAATTAAGAAATGGAACCGGAAAACAAGACCACAATAGAACCAATCCAATTAAAAAGGAAAGAGATTCGGGAAGAACAGAGAGAGGTTTGATTTCCAAAATATTCATACCCTCTTCTTCTTGCCGAAATCCCTCGCGCTGGGGGCTGCAGTTGCAGAAGCGTTGGTGATCGAATCCGAAATCATGGCTTCGAGAGGATCCTAACGAGAAAGCAGAAAACAAAGGAAAGAAGAATCGATCGCGAGACTGAAGATTCTGAAAAACCCTAATCGGGATTCGTAGAGAGAGACGTGCGATTTTTATTTTCCTTTTGTTTGTTGATGTGTGAGAGAGAATAGAGAGAGATGATATAAGGGATAACGGAAACTCCTCGTCTCCGCTCAAAACTCTCGTCTATATTTTATGCTGTGACCAAACTACCCCTTGTATTAACGTTTACCAAACGCTAGAAGACGTGGGCTCTTCTGTCATTTTGTCTGGCAAACGGTGTCGTACGAGGACAACAAAGGAGTGGAAAACGCCGTCGTTTTATTTTGTTTTTTTTGTTTTTCTTGTTTCTGCTAGGGGTGGGCGTTTCGGGAAACAGTTCAGGTTCATAACGGAATAAATCGGTTCGGTTCTTTCGGTTTTACAAAAATAGGTACCAATCGAATTTTTTATTGTATTCAGTTCGGTTCGGTTTCGGTATCGGTTCGGTTCGGATCCTGGTTTTATTAAAAAAATGATAGATTTTCTTTCAAAATATTCGGTTTTCGAGATTTTTAAAGTTCGGTTCGGTTCGGTTCCGGAAAAATTCGGTTCTCTAAAAATAGTACCGTTCGGAAAATAACAGCGGTTTCGGATCGAAAAAAATACCGTTTTAACGTTCTGATTTAGTCCGGTTCCGAAGAACCGAACCAAAATGCTCAACCCTAGTTTCTGCCTTTAGCTTGAGTTCCTCCTTCCAAACCTAAATAGAATAGGTTTTCAAGATTTTTAAAATCTAAAAACCAAAAAGACTAGACAATTAAAAATTTATAAATTTAATTTTTTTAAAATTTAGAAACCCATTTTAATAAAAAAAAATAAAAACCAAAAAAATAAAGTAAAAAATTCAAAATAAAAACTATTTCCAAATTAAAGTTTAAATAATATCTTTTGGAGTCTACTGAAAGGGGTGGAGCCACTTATTAGGAAGTGGGGTCACTGACCTTATTATCATTAAATCTTTTTTTTAAAGAATGATCTATTAAAATTTGTATGGTCTCCTATATCACGACATAAATTTTGTTTATTTGCACGATAGTTTTGAGTTTTTTTTGTACTATGGCGAGTTTAACATGTTAAATTTGGTCAAATTGGTTATATTTTGTTTCAATGATTTCAGTTCTTGAAATAAATATCTATTCGACATGAATTTGATATTTATATCGATAATTTGATAGAATATACTAATTTTTTAATTTAATTAATCTGTTTGTATTACGGTGAAAACAAAGAAAAATCTTTTATATTCTTGATATATAAAATTTTGAAATTGATTTTGATTTTATCCTTTTATCACTGTGAATGTTGAAAGATGTTTTCCACAGATAAATTCTGTGAAAACAACTTTCGTAATAAGATTGATGATCAAACTATATAATTTGTTTTATAAATATATATATATATATATCAAATTGCTAGGAATGAAATTGTTATTGATAAATTTTAAAAAATGAAAAACGATAGAAAAATCAGTCTTATGTTAATATTTTGCGACGATATATTTTTATTAATTTTAGTTATATATAATTAATAAATATTGTCGGGGACGAAACATTTTTTTATGATGGCCCGTCGTCACTGGCTGAAATCATTTTCAATTTCTCCAGTTGACTTCGCATTTTGCAATCGAAACTTTGGAAAGCACCAAAAGATTCCTTGATTGATCTTGAAAAGATTCCATGACTGATCTTAGAAAGATTCCATATAATTGGATGAGACGTGCAAAACAAAAAGATGTTAGAACTGCTCGCGTCAGAAAACGAATCTCGAATCGGAAACCCTTTGGGATCTTGAATAAGAACAAACCCAAAACCTCCGTTACAGTCGGAGGTTTTGTCCTTCCTTTACAAATTGCAACTGCCAATCTCCAAGCATTGGGGAAACACAGTAAGATCCGAAGCTTTCTTAGGATGCAGATTCTGAAATGCTCTGAAGAGACGGTTGCCAAGCTCCTCTCTGCTTCTCATGTCTCCTCTTCTGCCAAATGAAAAATCAATATGAACTGTACATATATATATGTGTATATATATGTGTATGCATAATTAGAAATACCAGATTGTCATTGGCAGAATCAGATTGATCAGATCTCAAGGCATTCTTCTCTTCCACTGCAAACTCTCCGTAGAGCTTCATTCTTGCACATTTCTTGGCCCATAATCCTTTCATCACCTCTGCGAAATCCCCATCCAAAGAAAACCATTTTACAGTGATCGATATATATATATATATATATATGAGAACAAAGACCAGATATGAAGATGGAGGGCATGAGATTTTGCACGAGCAACGAACCTTGAGAGGAGACGAGCCTGTACACGTGGCCGAGCAAGAGGTGGTCGCAAGGGCGGAGGAGCTTTATGCGTGTCACGCGGAGGGAGCCGCCGTTGGAGACGCCGGAGGATATTATGAGCGCCACGTGGAAGCCGGGATGTGACGTCATCAGCTCCCCCGCCTTCACCGTTCCGTACAGCCTCTCCGACTTCCCGTTCGGTCGTTGGACCACCGCCGCCGCCGCCACCGCCTCCGCCGCCTGACAGTTCCCCATCTCTCTCGACGCAGTGACGCTAATGATGCTTAGTGTGCTGAGCTTCTTAAATCATGCACCTACCGACCATTTCTTTTTTCTTTTTTAAAAAAAAGGAAAAACAATAAAATCGGAAAGTCATTTATATACTACCTTTATTACAAAATTCAGGTTACTCGAATTTATTACATCATTATGAATGGTTTATTACAGCAATTTAACATGTAGTTATGTTAAAAGTACTCCTGATATATACATAGGGGGCACTCATATATAAATATAGCAGATTTAATATCCCCATATCTATCTATTCTGAACGTATGAGTATATGAAATCTGTAAAAATACGTATTTTAAAAAAGAACTATAATAAATATGAATATATTTGTAGATATGACATGGGTGGGAAGCCTTTAAAATGATTAGTTAAAAATTCAAAACGTGAGAGATTGTTATAAAGTCATTAACAGGGACGAATTCTATGCAATTAGAAGGTTTATTGCTAGCATATATATATATATATATATATATATATATATATATATGATTTGGACTGTCCGTACAAAACCAGGTGCTAAGTGATTGGAATTCTCATCTCACGGCAGAATCAGAATCTCTAGAGGCCAAATAATTGTCATCTCTCCACCGACCGAACTCATAAATTCACATTTCATATGAATATGAAGATCATATAATTATTAGTATCCACAAAAAAAAATGTACAACGTTAATACCGCTAAATGTATTATCTGTAATACCAATGATTCAATACCATTAACTTTATAAAAACCATAATAATTTCAAAAAAGGGACAATTATGAATGAGATCCAAGTGAAGTTATATGATAAGATTTAAATAAAAAAGGAGAAATGACAGCAAAAAATGAGCCAAAAATATTCCCCCCTCGTGCAATCAAAACCCTAATCACATGCCAACTGTACAAACCTTTTTCGATCTCCTGAAAGCCACTGTCGCATTAATGCTAACTACGAATTAATTATTACTTAATTAACTAATCAATGACCCAGAAAAACCTTTATTTAACAATTAATAAACAAAGTTATCTTAATTGTTTATTTTCTTGGATAAAGAAACAAAAACCACACGTAAGCGTGAAGGGTCACTTGCTTAAAAGCCGGACGATTCCTTCAACAATATAAAATTATATTAATTTTATTTCTTTAACTACTAAATGTTGTAGGGGTGGGGTCGGCATCGGTCGGGTACCCTGATTTTTAGAGGTATCCGGTCTCATTTTTGTTTTCATGGGTTTTAACAACAATTATTTCGTTTTCATCTTAGCGATCTGCGATTCGGGTACCCGTCACAAAATTCTAAAACCCGAGGGTACCCGAACCCGCCAAACTTTTTTGAAATCCCTTTTAGTGATTTTAAACATATTTAGGTAATTTTATTTGATATTATATTTAAATATTATTGTAAATATATTAAAATGCTAAGGATATAAATGTCATTGTATTAATATCCGGTATCCGCGGGTTACCCGTTGCCATTTAGAAAATCCGAAGCCAAACCCACGGTTCTCATTTTCGACTTCATCGAACTCGTTTTCGTCTTCGTTAAACGTTGCTTAACGAGTACTCGTATTTCAAATACACGTGAGACCGAGCACTCGAAAACCCGCCCACCCCTAAATGTTTGTCCATAAGGATCAATTTTAAAATATTTTTATTCATATAATTTAACGCTTCAATTTTAAAATATTCTTTTTCAATTAAAGAGCTGTTTCTGCATTGAACCAATCTTCAAAATTACGACCAAAAAAAAAAAAAAAAAAAAACAAGAAAGCAAAGTGGGATCTGCTTCGTAGCTACTCAAGTGACAATAGTGTTGTTTTCTCTTAGATTTACAAAAGGCAAAGTAAATAAATGTTGTCGGAATCACTCTTTGTAAGAAAACTACATCACTTAGAACACTAAACAGTAACGGTGAAATTTCGAGGTTCCATCTTCTTCTCCTGAAACAAGCTCAGATCTTTGCTGCCTTCAGACGGATGGGAAATACTTGTTAAGGTTGAAGGGAAGAGAGTAGAACTCTTCGCTTCTGGTGTCGCCTTTGAAAGACCTGAACTTGTCCCACCAATGCTTTCCTCTGTCCTTCCTGATCGACCCGTCTTTCTTGTGCAATGTGTTGTCCAAGAAAAACGCCACGCATCCCGCCACAAAGGGCTCCGACGAGAACGGCACGTTCACCATGTCATTGAACTGCCACCAAAATCCACAGTCAGCGAAACCCATGCAAAGGAAAAAGGTTCCTACTTTGAGGAAGCTAAAAAAAAAAACCCATCTCGGCTTCTATGAACTGTACGCACCCATCGAGCTCCTGTATGGACGGGACCATAACCGTTGATAGCAGTGTACTCATTGAAGTACTGCGGAATAGACAAACCAAGGAAGATGGAGAAACCCAAGATGAACTTCGTCCTGAAGCTGTTAAGGTTGCAGAACTGAAGAAAACTCACACCTCCAGCTCCTACACGTGTGTGTGTATATATATGTACATACATCGTTAACTGCCCGAGCATTTTCAATTCAAAAGTTACTGAGTTCAGAGGTTAGATTTTTCACAGGGGACACACCTACGTAGGCGAAGAAGAGACAGTACAGAGCAGCAATGATGGGTCCAGGAATTGAAGCAAACACAGCTCCGAATTTTCCTGCATAGATTATTTCCATAAACCCCGAGGGAAAAAAAACCATTTGATTTAGACAGCTTTTGCTGAATTAGATTTCAATAAACAGGTTATTACCAAGAATAGAGAAGAAAATCATGAAACCAGCAGCTATCTGGACAACCCTCCGACTACCAACTCGCGTCAGGGCCAAAAGACCGGCGTTCTCTCTGCGTTTGAGCCGCGGTTTAAACAAAAGAATTTAGAGAATATCATGAAAATTTCACACATGACCCAAAAAGAAAAAAAGGATACTTACACAGAAACGGAGGCACCAGCACCTGTACCAAACAACCCTGATATCAGAATTGCAACTCCCTGATTATACAAAAAAAAAAGTTAATCAAATCGTCAGAAGATAATATCTTTGGCTTCATATAAAAAAAAATCCAGTTTTCGGGTAGACGGTGGTAAAGTGTAACCGAATTACCTGCCAGCCAACACCTCGGCTGAGAATAGAAGGTGGCAACATCGTGGCACTTGCGTATCTCGAAACAGAGATAAAAGCACCAGTGGACTGTATCGATTGAAAGAAACAAGAAATCAGAAAAAAATCAATAAACCAGATCACATTCAGTTCTCAAGAAAAAAGATTTATAAGAAAATTTTTCGCAAACCTCCACAAGTGCAACAAAAGAAGCCATCATCATGGCAAAAGCTTCTCCTGCGTCAAAGGAGGGGGCACCCCATTGGAAAGGCCACGGAACTCGTATCCTGGAGGAAAAAACGTATCTATTTCAATAAGAAATCCAAAACCATTCTATACAGAGCCTACATTTGCATCAAATGCTGCAAAAGGCCATTGTTTCACACAAACAAGGAAGAACATACCAAGGTGCAGAACCTATGAGGCCAGAACGATCAGTTCGGCAGCTTGCTTGTGTCTTTGGGGCAGCATCATTGTAGGCCCCGCCAACCGTGAGAAGGTGGGCGTAGATCCACACGATCACCACGGAAAATATCACGGCAAACCGATCAAACACATTTTTCCCTGATTTTATGACATGAGGCAGGTACTGCAACACAAAACATATGAAGATGAAAATCAATAAACATGGACATCAACTTCAGTTAATTTCTTGGAATTAGCCTTCTATGAAAAGACAGAGAGTACAACAACACTAGAAAACAATGGAACAGTAACACATCAAACGTTACCTGTGAAACAAATACTAGAATTAGAAGCTCGGGCAGCCCAATCTCAATGCACTTTGCAACCTGAAAATGATTTTTTTAAACAGAAGTAAACAACCAAAAGCAAGAGTCTTTAGGTCTGCTCGTACTCATTCATATGAAACGATTTAATACTCATGTGTTCCTGCAAAAATAAATAGAACTTACCCCGGGGAAACCGAACTCGTATAGCCCGAAACCTACTAAACCCACCAATGGAGCAGCCGAGAGAGGACTTAAGAACCTGAAACACAAAATAACAATTGCAGGGCATCCCTAATTTAATATCGGAAGCACATCTCGGATAATCTGCTGTTGGGTAAAGAAAATGAATGGGTTGGAACTAATTCCTCCTCCAGACTGACCTGACAACATTACGCCAAAGGCCACTAAAACCGAGAATCATCTGTAGCGTTGAAGCAACAATCAAGGCGCCTTGGGTTGCTCGCATTATCCTTTCAAATCGCTGAACATAGAAATTAAATGTAGGTAGTGTTGTTATAGTGCCAAGAAAGAGGGTCTTGAGATGGTTTAAGATGTAACGTTAGTGGCCAAGTTGATATATGAGAAGGAAAAGTTGGGCTAGCGTACATCTACGGGGTTTGAGGTATCACTGAATCGACTCGAGAGGATAATCGATATGGTGGTTGGGACAAATGTGTAGGATGCTCCGATTACAGCTGGTAATCTTGTCCCGAACAGTGATTGGAGCAAAGTGTTGATCCCAGAGACAAAGAGTATAGTCTGGACCACCTTTGCCTTCTCTTCCTGCGGCATTGTATAAGCCATATCATATGATTAATTCACCAGAGAACATTTCATGTTTCCTCTTATTTATGCTTTTTCTTTTCTCTCAAGACCTTACATTTCCACCTCCCATCTGGGGAACAAGGGCAGTAGGTATGAGGACCGTCGTGCCAAGCATCACGAGGTAGTGTTGAAAACCGAGGAGGATAGCTTCAGCTGAGACACAAGCATGTGGATATATCTCAATCTTATGTATATACAGAATTCTAGATCAACTGATGAAAAGAAGGAACGGGAAACCAACAGCAGAAATGTGAGGGCATGTAAGATGATATGCAGATCAGAAACATCATAAAGACAAGTGACCCGACATGAGCTCATACATTACTTGACTGTCCAATAGTGAACAAATTGTCAACCACATTTTTTCGGATTAGATGTATTTCAACAAATCTACACACATTAATCCAAAAAGCCAATAACAATAATGATAATATAAGATCTCCAAGAATCTGCAGAAATGATAGGTTATGTACATTAAAAGGCCAATGAGGCCTACTTGCAAAAGTTTAAGACACTGACATGACAAAAGAAGGGGATCCACAGTATTCTTATAGAGGAAAAGAATGGGAGAGGAAAAGTATGTATCAACAATTAATAAGTTCAAGGATAGGATTCCCTTGCAGAACAACTTTCTAAAAAGACTAAAAATCAATACAAAACACCTGGGAATTGGGTTTAATTCTCCAACGAGTTAACAATTCCAACACATGAACATAGTTCTTTATGTAGGATTATGCTCTGAAACTGGTGACTAGAGAGATATGGGCCGTGTATGAAGTTCACATTCGCAAATCTATGTAAGAAAAAAAAGTTGTCTTTGAATTAGAACATAACAAGCTAATCATCTAACCATAACATCATCGATCAAAGGAATCATACCCAGAAAAGAAAAACAGAAACCCCCGAGAGAAACTTCAGCCCAGAGAAGAAACAATACTTGAACAAACAAGCATCGTCATTAAGGAAATAACGAGATGGAGAAAGAATCTCACGCCATGGAGGAGGACTGGTGATGCAATACGAAATGTTGGGGAGCTGATCCTTTGGAGGGTGCGGCTGAGGTTCGTCGGCTTTGGGTGCTGGAGCTCCACCTCCCGCCATGGTTTTCTCTCTCTAGAAAACAGCCAAGAAGAAGCCAACGATGAACACGAGCAAAATCTGAAACACTAAAAGAAGAAAGAGCCGCAAAACCCAGAATGAGAATCTTGCAGAAAGTAGCTGAAACGGGTAACGAGGGCACAAATCAAGCAAACATTTTTATAAATCAGGGATAAGAGAAGGAAGAAACCCACATCAGCTTGCAACTGCGGAAGAAGAAGAAGAACAGCGGCAGAGACAGTTTTGGGCACACAAGGGTAAACCCACAGAGAGAGAGAGAGAGATTTCTGAGTAAATTAAAGGCCAAAAAAGTAGCTTTATTATGTGCAACACTCGAGGTAAAGCAGAAGATTAAAAAGGTCAAATTTATGAATCAGGGATTGGGACAATATGCGGGAGCCTTCAATTTTGTATCTTTTTTCTTCGTGATCATCGATTTCGTGAAGGAAATCATCACATCATATGACCATTCGTGTCTGAAAGATCAGTAAACAGTCGCTTCTGTTTTATTTTTATAATGAAAGGCAAAAAGGAAACGAGGGAGTGAAACAGTAAATGCATGTGAACAAAGAGAATACGTGAGGAATCTTTTTCTCTTGAAAAGTAAAGCATTATTAAAGTCTTTATTTTTTTTTCCTTCACCGAATTAAAGTATTAACCTTTCCGGGATCATTTGGAAAATAGGTTTCCAAACAGAAATTACTTTATACTAATAATAATAATTATGTTTTTTTGGTAGAAAATTCAATAGCAACAATAATATCGCTTTCTGTAATCTACCATTTACTTGGGAAAAAAAAACTTTGAGTATGCTCCATTAATTATTTATACATTGTATAAGTGTATAAATAATTACAAAAAAACTTAATTTATACATTGTATAAGTGTAAACCGAAGGTAAATTAATCAATTAATTATTTTTGGCGCCGAACAAGAAAAAAATATGTAGGGGCGACAAGTGGAATATGCTCACTCTAACTCAGTGATAGAATTTTCACAAAACATTCAAGAACACATGTATATGTATATGTATATATATATGTTATGTATATGTATATGTATATGTATATACGAAGATTTTGTACAAAATATTAAAATTTGTAACGTTGTTAGGAACGGATTATAGAAATCGATACGAACGACGC